AGATAAACAACTTATCCTGAAACGCGGCCCGCGGGTGTCCTGCGGGGCGCGATCTGTGTTTAGTGTAAAAACTCAACCGCGTGGCATTTTGAAAACGCCAAAATGCCGCCCGTATTTATAAGTTGTCCCAAACGGGCCCTTAATCTAACACGAGGTATCCAATGTTAATTTTCCCCATTTACATATCCCAAGTAAAAGTGTTATTTCTCCTAAACATACTAAAAAGGACATTATTTTCTGAATGATTACATAGGTCTCACACACTGGTATTTGGCGTTGTCACCCTGCTCATCCACACTTCTGTAACAGAATTTGGAGAGCAGGGAGGAGCGCCTTTTAACAGCCTATCATCCACCAATGAAGTATCATTGTAGCCACTGTTTTTAATTTCTCTCAAATTCTCAAGCACCTCATTAATGGAAGGCCTCAACTCTCCATCAGACTGCAAGCACTGAAACGCCAGCTCCGCCACCTGGGCAATCATCCTATTTATGCTGCGATCTGACTGATACCCCAATCTCAAATCCACAATCTCCTCTAATTCCTGCCTTTGGATCTTGTTAATCGCCATGTCAGCCAGAGAGAACTCATGCCTCAGTTGGGTGAAGTCAACAGCAGGCTTTGAGGAAACAAGCTCCATCAATACTACTCCAAAACTATAAACATCGCTCTTGTCCGTCAGCTGACAACATTGGTAGTACTCGGGATCGATGTAGCCTGGTGTTCCCTGCGGGGCGGTGGAGACATGTGTGGCGTTGCTCGGGAAGAACCTTGAGAGGCCGAAATCCGCTACCTTGACATGGAAGCTGTTGTCGAGGAGAATGTTGCTGGTTTTGATGTCACGGTGAATGATCTGCGGCTCAATGGAGTGAAGATAGTTGAGGGCTTCAGCCGTTTCGATAGCAATGTTCAATCTCGCTTTCCACGGCAGAAAAGATTGGAATGCCAGCCGGCCATGGAGGTGGTCGGCGACTGTTCCGTTAGGCACGAACTCGTAAACAAGGAGGAGTTCACGGCTCCGTCGAGAGGTGCAGCCGTAGAGGCTGACAAGATTTTGGTGCTGAAGGAGTGATAGGATTTTAACCTCGTTCATGAAATGCTTGAGGTGGCCGTATTTGTTCTCATACAGACGCTTCACTGCCACCACTCGTCCATCCTGCAGCTTTCCTGTAATGCGAATAAGCAAGCATGGGATCAGGTCTGGATCAAATAGTTTGAGATGGCTGCTACAATGAGTTGTTACCTTTGTAGACTGCACCGAAGCTGCCATCACCAAGTTCGCCAGAGGCATCAAAGCCATTTGTGGCTTCATAGAGCTCCTCATAGGTAAAGATGGGAGACTGGATAGAGAAACAGAGCTCAGAGTCTGCTTTAGAAGATGGCTGAAAAGAAGTAATTCTTTTGAGGAGACTTGAGCAAGACTGCCTTCTCTTCCTGCATATATGCAGGACATAGAAAAGGAAGCACAGTATGGCCAAGCTCAATCCAGCTGCTGTGCTAAAACCAATTATAAGAAATTCCTTCAGATGATTGTTAGCTGCAACAGAGAAAAGAAATTAGATAACAGACAGTTAGGATAAAGGCGATTGAATTATTGCAGAAAAATCTTATTCAGGAAAGTTCATGCATGACAAAGTTAAATTTACTTGTAGTTGTAAACAGAACTGTAATAACTTAGTGAAGACATCAGCTATAACAATCATCTGAAATCTAATGAGTTTAGAAGCAAGGAAAGGGACAAATATATAGAAGATAAATGTTCTAAAATTTAATAAAGGAAAATTGGGTAATGAAGGTGAAATTAATAATATTAAATGATAAAATGTTAGTTACAAGAGA